GTGGGGCTGATCTATTGGGAGCTCACCAAGGCCAGCTGGACTGTGACTGAAAAAGCATGGGATAAAACCGGACTCTCTGAACATGGAGAACAATGAGGGCTGCTGAGAAGCCAAGGACAATGGCACTGGGTTTTGATCCTACTTCATGTTCTGGCTTTGTGGGAGTCTAGCCAGTTTGGATGTTCACCTTCTAGACCTGGATGGAGGGGAGAGGGCCTTGGACTTTCCACAGGGCAGGGAACCCTGACTGCTTTTTGGACTGGAGAGGGAGGGGGAGAGGAGTGGGGGAAGGGGGAGAGGGGTGGGATGAGGGAGAGGGAAATGGGAGGCTGGGAGCAGGCAGGAATTTTTTTTTCAATAAAAAAAATAAAATAAAAAAAATTTCATAAAATCTAAGACAAGGAAAAATTCCAAAACAGAGTGATTTGCTGCTACCTGGAGTCATTTCTTTCTTTCCAATATCTAGTTATTTAGGGACATTTTCTAAGAGAAAAATGTTCTACGTGGACCTTCACTGATAGTGTTAAAAACGTATTTTAACATTATTACATATTCTGGGGTTTAGAACATGGAGATATGTATTTATTAGAATCTTTACCTTATATCTAGAAGCTAAGGCCTTGACATTCAAGTCTGAACACTTTTTTAAAAGGCAGCAAGTCAAAGAATCTTTCACTAGATTTAAAATTATATATTTTGAGGCATTGAAAAGCAAAATGACATACTACCATACAGGAAGGAGTTACAAAGGAAAACAAATAGTGTTGCATACATTTTCTTGAAGTTAAAAACTTATCTTTGGAATAAAATAACATGAGCCACATAAAAGGAAAAAAAAAAACCTGAACTCTTATATACCAGTATATTGGCAGCATAATATTGAAGTACTCACTAATGCATGAAGGTTGAGCTGACCATCCATTTTGTAGACAAGTAATTGGTCCTGATGTTTTCCCATTTGCTGTTACATATCCCTGTTTGCACTTATACTGTGTTGTTTTATTTAGATGATATGCAAGATCAGATTCAGAAAAAAACCATTCTCAATTTCTATATCTGACTTTGAACATGCTTCTGAAATGGAAAAGACCAAGATAAACATTAGTGAATGCACAGTAGCTTAAAGATTCACAATATAAAAAATATTAAAAATAGCCATTAACATCTATCTATGTGTGAAGTCCTGGTTAATCAAAACCATTCACATTACTGTGCCAAAGAGAAGAAATCATAGTTTTAAAAATACACAATAATTCTGTCAGAATTTTTTTTCTACAAAAGCAAGATTTAGTTCACTCAAATGTTATGTTTTGTCCAAGAATATCCATAATCCTTCATAATGTCAGCACTCTTGAAAATAAATTATTTTTTAATTTTTTATTTTCTTGTACCTTTTTTAAAAACCTGAGAGTAAATTGGCTCTCTTAGATGCATAGAAACATTTACCTAAATAGAGTTCCTCTGTTTGGGTGAAGATCTTGGAAAATACAAAGCTGTTATAGACTCTTATAAAAAGAATTTGAAATGTCCTCCTAACTGCATGCCTAAAAAACAATTTATGTTCAAAGTTCAAAGAAGTTTAGAACAAATAATACATTTATTCAGTGTTCTCATGCCAAAATGTTGCCTACTCAAATGTGCAACTGAACATAAAAGTAAATTTATTAATTTCATTTTTATGTTAATAACATTTCAACGTGAGATATAATAGATAAAGGTATATTACATGAAAAATTAACATAAAGGAAATGTATAATAGTATTCTTCTTCCAGTTACTATATTTCTTCCAGTACACATATTTGTGTGTTTATGGAAATGAAGGAAAAAAATGTTAACTATTTTAAATCTTACTGAAAGCATAAGATCAAACATTGGGAGGTAACACTAAGTAGTGAAGAGATAAGAACATGAAACAGCTGAAAAAGAATAAAAAAAATTAAATATTTTTTTTCAATTTTTGTACTTAGAAAAACGTAAATAGCAACATAAATTCAAATTTTGAAAACCTAAAAAGATGAAGGGAGATCAAGCAGAATCCAGACAAGGGAAAAGTAAGGAAGTTGTATGATCTTGTAAAGAAATGTAATAAAATTATAAATTAAAAAAAAAGTGGAGTGTCAGACATAAACAAAGAAACAGAGGTTTATAACTGAAAACCACCAATGTCAGTGATAGGAAGACAAAGAGGACTAAAATTTCAAAGGTATCAATAAATTAATGAGGTCCATTATCAAGTTGGCTTTATAAATGGAGGAATTTTCCAGAAAATAACATAGTGAGAAAGAACACAGGAAAAAGTTGGATATTTTAGCAACAAACATCACTCTTTTCAAACCTGTGGCATAACAAAGCAAAGACAAGAGAAAGTAGAACTAAAGTAGAACTCTGCAGATCTCTGCAGCTATCCTCTAGCTTCTTTGGCCATATGTCAGCATAATGTGACACAATAGAAAATGACGTGATGCAGAACAACAGGAGACAAAAAACCACCCCAAATAGTAAGGTCAATAATTCCTAGAACACCAGCATTCTGAGATATTCAAACGGGAAGAGTGGAAGGATTGATTCTTTTGATCACCTTTATCCTTTAGAAAGACCCCGGTCTTTTGCCTTCTTCCCCCTTTTGTATGGTGGTATAAGAGTATGTGGTGTATGTAGAATTAAACATGGGCAAACTCAGATTTCAGTATGCAGAAGGAACTGTGTGGCCCTCCTGATACTATCCTATGTCTTTGTCTGTCTTTCTTTCTTTCTTTCTTTCTTTCTTTCTTTCTTTCTTTCTTTCTTTCTTTCTTTCTTTCTTTCTTCTTTTCTGGTTTCTCGAGACAGGGTTTCTCTGTAGCTTTGGAGCCAGTCCTTGAACTAGCTCTTGTAGACCAGGTTGGCCTCAAACTCACAGAGATCCGCCTGCCTCTATCTCCCGAGTGCTGGGAATAAAGGCGCGTGCTACCACTGCCTGGCTTGTGTTTCTTTCTTATCTCTGTTCCTTCTACCTAGTTTTTCTAATTCTCACACCCATACCCTGAAATGTACAAACCCACTGTGGCTAGGAGCCTGGCAAAAGTCACCCCAAAAAGGTGGCTGCAGACCTATGGCAGTACTGGGAGCAAAGACCTGTATTTGGTTCTAGTTAAGCCATTTTAATTCACAAGTTAAGTAAGCTATTCACCTCTGTAGGGCAAGTTCCGAGCACAGGAAATAACCCAGATCAATGTGGTGGCTCATGACATAGCATATACCTGTAAGTAGTTTAGGATTGATGAATATAATCAAAACATGGTACGGGAAGTCCTTCTGTATACATGTTACTTTTATTGGTTAATGAAGAAAGAATCTGCCTTGGCCTGTGATAGGGGAGAATAGAGCTGGGGTGGGGGCAGAGAAACTAAACTGAATGCTGGGAGAAAGAAGGCAGCATTAAGGAGGTGCCCTGAAGCTGCCACCAGGAACAGACATGCCAGAAACTTGCTGGTAAACCACAGCCATGTGGCGATACACAAATAAATAGAAATCAGTTGAATTAAGATGTAAGAGTTAGCCAATAAGAAGCTATAACTAATGGGCCAAGCAGTGATTTAGTTTATACAATTTCTGTGTGGTTATTTAGGGGCTGAGCAGCCGGGTAAAAACAAGCGGCCTCCTACTACAAAAACACATTGCGTGAAATTTTCAAATAAGTATACAAAAGGATAATCTCAAAAAATTAAAGTTATTTTAAGTGACAAATATAAGCAACAGTAAATTATAAGTAGTATTTACTTGGACCTCATAAAGTGTTAAAATATGCATACTGAAAATAACTATTTGAAACTCATGATGAGCCAGGTTATACAAGAAAATATTCACAAATTTGATTAGAGAATTGTATCATAAATAAATAAATGATTAAAAAATAAATTATCCAATAAAATATACAATTAAAAGGGGATTGTTAGGTGAATGCTATTATTAGTCCACAAGGTATAAGTATGATGAAACACTACTCTGCTGATGTATTTAGAATCTACAACTCAACTCTCCTGATTTTGAAAGGGAAACAAGTGAACTGGTAGCCTTGCTCATGCTGTTATAGATGCAAAATATCCCAAATATCCTTTAAATCCCTTGGATAGATTCTCATAGCCACACACCTGTCATAGTTCTCATTTATTTGATTTCATTTCTAGATATCTATCTAAAAGTATTTATAAATTAAATACAATGACTTATATTCAATTTTCATAAGTAGCTCAAAAACTGTCATAATTTTAAAACACAAAATATTAATTAAAGTGATATAGTTTAAATATTATATATCTATGTGAAGATATATCTTTACACACTAGAAAATGAGTTACTATCCATCTCCTAACATTGGAAAATTATAAAGATATTCCACTGAGAAGTAAAGAAATTGTTAAAAAATGATACATAAATCATTTTTATGGGATATGATGTGTAGAAATACAACATTGCAGTAATCAAAAAAATGATACTTAGAATGGTGGAGTTTGTCATACACTGAAGAAGAAGGGAACAAGAGAAGTTCCTAAAGAGTTCAAACTTGTTCTAGTTTGGTAGGGTTGTATTCATAAAGAACACTCATTTGTCAATGTCGCTGACCTGAACACTAAATATGTGTGAACTAAACTGATTCTTGAATAAAAATCATTTTTCAAAGATGAGTCCTTAGAAGTGAGCATAATCATTTCCTGTTGCCTGCAACACGTAAGACTGCCAACTACTTCTCCAGTCCCATGTCTACCTATATGCTGCCATGTCCCACCATGATAATAATGGATTAAACGTTTGAAACTGTACGAGAGTCACCGCAATTAAATGCTTTCATTTATAGGAGTTGCTATGATCATTCTGACTCTTCACAGCAAAAGAAGCCCTAACTAAGAGAGAAGTTGGTACCAGGGACTGGGGTACTGCTTTAATAAGCCTAACCATATGTTTGTTTGGCGCAATTTAGACTTTTGTTCTTTGGGTTAGAAAAGCTTAATCACGGCTTAAAGGGTCATACTAGTAGAAGCATGGAAGACAGTGGTGCTAAAAGTTATTTAAACTGTGGAGGGCTGGCTTTACTATGTTTTGGAATACTAATGTATATCCTGTGTCAATATATACGGGAAGTATGTGATTTCTTTTTTATTTTCATTTTGTAAGGGATTATAGTTAAGAGTTTGTATGAATCTCAGAAGAGATTTTTGAACTTTAGATTTTTTTAAGTAAGTTTGAGACAGTTATAGACTATAGGGACTTTGAAGTTGGAGTGAATGCATTTTTGTATTATCATATGGCTATAAGCTTTTGGAGGCCAGGAAGTAGCATATGGTGCTTTGAAAAAAATATGACCCTGAAAGGGATTGTCACTATTAGGGGGAGAGGCCTTGCTGAAGTAGGTGTAAACTCATTGGAAGAAATATGCAACTGTGGGAGTGGGTTTTGTGGTCTTTTCCCTTACCTTCCCTCAGTGTGATACTCAAACCACTTTCTGTTGTTTACAACACGTAGGACTCTTAGCTAGTTCTCCAGCACCATGTCTGCCTTCATGCTGCCATGTCCCATCATGACGATGAAGGACTCTGAAATTGTGAGTCATCCTAAGAAATGTTTTTCTTTATAAGAATTTATGATCATGGTGTCCCTTTATAGCAATAGAAATCCTATGTAAGACAACGACCAAGCTATCTAAAAATGAATAAAGCTAAGTTTCTCATTAGCAAAATTGCATGGATCAATTGTTTTCTACACTATGAATATGTATTACTTTCATTGGCTAATAAAAAGCTGAAGGGCTAATAATTGGGCAGGAGATAGGTAGGAAAGCCAAACAGAATGATAGGAAGGAGGGAAGAATCTAGAGTCACCAATCAGATGCAGAAGAAACAAGGTGAGAATGCCACACTGAGAAAAAGTACCAAGCCACATGGCTACACATAGTTAAGAATTATGGGTTGATTTAAATATAAGAGCAGGTTAGTAATAAGCCTGAGCTACCAACTGAGCATTTATTATTAATATAAATCTCTGTGCGGTAATTTGGGAAGCAGTTACTGAGTATTTGGGAGTTGCTTGCAAGATAGAAACTCCCACTTACACCAAACAGTGTAAGAGAAGACATTTGACAAAAATTCAAAACCAGATTAAACATTTAAAGGCATATCACATTCAGATGCATAAAACTCCATATTATTATATGACTATTTCAAATTTATTTTGAAAATTCAAGATAATATCAATCAAATTTTAAAAAGGTTATTTAAAGGAAGTTGACAGTCAGAAATAAACAAAGAACACAATTGTGATATATACAACTAAAACAGACTGGATTTTAGAATTTTTAATATTCCAGCAAACTAAATACAAATGTATGAATTAGAAAAAGAATTGCATTTGAAAAACTAAAATTATTACCTCCATATTAACCTCGGACTGCTTTTTGGAAACCCAAATCATAATTAAAGAAATGCATATCAACAGTATCATATTGTAATATTTATTAATGTTTATTTATGAAAATAAAATGTGATATTTTGAAGCCATTTTCAAACATATGGACCACGAAAAAAATTGACACAGACATATATTAGTACAGATTTTGGAGAAAATATGAAAACAAGATAATTCACAGTGTCCCAGAATTCTTTTTCCTGTTACATATCATAGAGAATCTAGAGACAATTGTCCGTACTTTAAAATGGCAGGGTACTGCTTGAATATATGAATGATGTGTATAGCTATTATCATATTTGTTCAATTTTAAACTATAGTCATATAATTGTTTTGAGTAAAATAAAAAAGTTATTTCAAGGTTTATAGTACCATAAATGAAATACATTTTACTCAATGTTTTGTTGTATTATGGTCTAATGTTTACTCGATCTGTTTACTTTGCTGTGCTGGGCGATGGTGGCGCACGCCTTTGGGAGGCAGAGGCAGGAAGATCTCTGTGAGTTCGAGACCAGCCTGGTCTACAGAGCGAGTTCCAGGACAGGCTCCAAAGCTACAGAGAAACCTGTCTCGAAAAACCAAAACAAACAAACAAACAAACAAATTTTCTCATATTACTTACTAACATGGATGCATTTGGGTTGAGGAGACCAGTCTCTGTACATGTAACTGTGTCCTAACCATTTGGAATACTGTAGCCAGAGTAACACTGGACTCTTACATACTGGTCCTGTATGTAGTTTTCTGTCTGTTGTAAAAATTGCCCATTTTCTACATAATGCAAACCTCATTGTCCTAAGAACCAAAAGATGATAAATTAAAAACATCAATACATTCATTTATTCAAAACACTAACTTAAAGCTTACCTTTACAATATTTGTGTGCATGTGTGACATTCAAAATAAAACCAATATTCAATGTTTAAAAGAGTGCAACTTTTCTTAATTTTTATAAATAAAATGTGCAAGCCAACAAATCATTCTCATAGTCCCTGTTTTTTTATTTTCACTTCCAAGGTCATTTCTCTTTATTTGGCAGATTATCTTCTTCAAACTCTACCTGTGTCTTGATCTTTTCCTTAAGAAAGATTTGTTTCCTAAATGACAGGGTGACATCACCCTGTCATAAAGTCCCTGTTTTTGATCTGCGTTTCATGAAGAGCTGCTCACAAAGGAGAGAAACTAGTCTTTCTTTTGTCATAAAATCTTCTGCTGGTCTTATTTTTGTCATTAGGAATTTACCCATAATTATGCATGTACTCTTCCTTTCCACTCATTGATAGAATTAAACACGATTTAATAGAGACATTGACTTACTGCGGCATGGGACAGCAGGCTCCCACCCTTGTGCAGTGCAGCGAATGTAGTCCCAGTTTGTCCCTGAAGGAGTCAAAAATCCTTTTTTGCAATAATAGCTGAGCTTCTTTCCTCTAAGTGCTGGGAAGTAGTAGCTGTAGAATCTGTGGTTCTCTTCATCATTTAGACCTCCATTTTTGATTCGTGGAAAATCACAAGGTTTCCCTTGCAGTAGAAAAAAAAAAAAACAGAAAAACACTCAGGCATAAACCATTTGAATAATTAATTGCTTTTTATTAAAATAACTATGTCTAGAGAGTGTCTTGGAGAAGGAGACAGATGGAATTCAAACAACTGCAGTAAGTGAGAATATCTTTTTCATGAGATCAAGTTATCCCTTCCAGCTTACCTGAGAAGTGAGTCAGGGATATTTAATAACCAATATGATGACTGCGTTTTATAACTTGAATTTTAACAGAAGTATAATGTGATTACATTATAGTGAGCTATTATAAATTCATATTTATGTGCTATATTGTTTATTGTATTTACAAGTTTATATGAAATGTTTATATTTTTCCTTTTATATTTTTCTTTATAAAGGAATAATATATTATTATCAAAATAGCATTAATTTTTTCCATGGAGGGTGATTCTACTCCAGGAAACCTCATCCAATATGTTACAATAATTCCAACAAATACACACAAATTTCCAATGGCTTTGTCATTCTTTTATTTTTTTTTGTTTTAAACGAGAAAATTTTCATGAAATCTCAAAATCTGATACATGGCTAATAATTTTAAATTATTTTTATTCATGTTTTTATTTGAGAAATTTAGGGATTACATTTTTCCTAGAGCATCAATAAATTGAATTAGCTCACTGAGATTTCTTTTTAAGAGTAGTAAAACGAGGCATGGTTTAAAATAGGAATATAATTATTACCAGACTACTCAGACCCTTAACTAATCTTCATTCTTATATGGGCACCAGTAAATCTCTTTGTCTTTTTTGTAGGTGATTCCTTGACACACAACTAATATTCCATAAAGTAAACGACCACCAGACGCGGTGGTCAGTACTTAAAGCTTTTCCACTGAATCTCAAAATTTTCCAGATGCATGTTGCGATCCTATCAGCAGTGATGGTTGTGTCATCCAAGTGTTGATTCAGGTTACTCACAGCATTGATTGATACGTTTGCTAATTTTACAGCTGTTCTAAATAAGCACAAGGGCAGCTCAATTTTTATCCATCCCAGGATTTTTTAGTTATTACTGCTGATTTCATTCTACTATAGATTCAATATAGTGCAAAAGATCAACTTGAAGAATATATCCTAATGAAGATTCAGGAACATCATCCCTTATTTTGTTCTAGTTTTGAATTTATATTGTATTTTCCTCCAAACAGTAAAAAAAAATTGATAAAAGAAAGGACCAATTGAATATTTTTGAGAAAAGAATACTACATTTAAGTAGAAAAGGTTCAGGGGCTGGAGAGATGGCTCAGAGGTTAAGGGCACTGACTGCTCTTCCAGAGGTCCTGAGTTCAATTCCCAGCATCCACATGGTGGCTCACAACCATCTGTAATGAGATCCGGTGCCCTCTTCTGGCCTGAAGGCATATATGAAAGCTGAACACTGTGTACATAATAAATAAACAAATCTAAAAAAAAAAGGAGAAAAGGTTCTTAATTTAAATTACAGAGATATTAATTATCTTTATCTTATCCAGGAAAACATTAAAAATTATATTGCAAAACAACTCAAATTCAGATATATTCATTCCACAGATGGCCCAGATATCTTTGGGAAGATCTATGATGTAGAAATTAATCATAATTGTATTTGAGGCTCACTGCACTACACAAATTTCACACATATAATTGCTAACCTACAAAAAAAGCCCATAGCAAGCATGTAATAACATTGGCACAGGCGAACATTTCCTAAACATAGCCCCAGTATCACAGACACAGAGAGAAACAATTAATAAATGGGACCTGCTGAAACTTAGAAGCTTCTGTAAAGCTAATGACACGATCAACAAGACAAAATAGCAGCCTAGAGAATGGGAAAAGATCTTCACCAAGCCCACATCAGACAAAGGGTATATCTCCAAAATATACAAAGAACTCAAGAAATTGGTGATTAAAAGAACAAATAATTTAATAAAATAATGGGGTACAGACCTAAACAGAGAGCTCTCAACAGAGGAATCTAAAATGGCTGAAATACACTTCAGGAAATGTTCAACTTCCTTAGCCATCAGAGAAATACAAATCAAAACAACTCTGAGATTCCATCTTACACCTGTAAGAATGGCCAAGTTCAAAAACACTTATGATAACTTATGCTGGAGAGGATGTGGGGTAAAGGGAAAATTCCTGCATTGCTGGTGGGAGTGTAAGCGGGTAGAGCCCCTTTGGATATTAGTTTGGTGATTTCTCAGAAAATTAGGAAACAACTTTCCTCAAGAACCAGTAATACCACTTTTGGGTATATACCCAAAGGATACTTAATTGTACTACAAGAACATGTACTCAACTATGTTCATAGCAATATTGTTTGTCATAGCCAGAGGCTGGAAACAACCAAAATGCCCCTTGACTGGATCATGGATAAGAAAAAAAAATGTGGTAGATTTATACAATGGAGTACTATGCAGCAGAAAAAAATAATGACATTTTGAGATTTGCAAGCAAATGGATGGATTTAGAAATATCATATTGGGTGAGGTAACTCAGACCCAGAAAGACAAATGTCATAAGTACTCACTCATAATGACTTAAAATAAAGCAAATAAAATCACTGTACAATTCACAATCCCAGAGAACCTAGACAATAATGAGGACCATAAGAGAGACATACATCGATTTAATCTACATGGAAAGTAGAAAAAGACAAGATTTCCTGAGTAAATTGGGAGCATGGAGACCATGGGAGAGGATAGAAAAGGAGGGAAAAGGAAGGGAGGGGAGCATAGCTCAATAAAATCAATAAAAACATTAAAAATCTAGGGATAAATTAATTCTGTTAGCAAGATAATTTGACTACTGAACAATCCTCTAAAAATATTTGTATTTCTAGACAATATACAGTGACCACATTAATCATAAAAGTATCTGTTTTCCATTAAACTATGAGAGACCTATAGGTTTATTATTATAAAAGATATTGGGAATAGTGAGCGTTTTGTGCTCAGTAGTAAACAAGTAATTTACACTATCCCATCCATTGTTCAGACATCATGAAGAAGGGGCACAATCATGCTAAGATCTAGATGTAGTGATCATGACTGTGACATATCATCTGTGCTATATACTGCCATTATAAGAATAAAGTCTCAAAACCCACAGATTCCTGCACTGAGTCTGCTTAAGAATGGGCCTTCAGCATTGAGGCTTGAATGAAGTAAGGTCTCAGGAAACCATTTCTTGTTGATAAATTCATGAAAAAGGGGTGTCAGCGCTCTGAGTTCTATACTCACCCATTAATGAGCAAACCACATTTCAAAAGACAGTTTTGATTTGATGTCATGAATATGCCCTGGTTAAAGCAAATGCATAATACATCAAAACTCAAACTTATGAATCTTGAGAAAGCACAAACAAGGATAGAATGTTGTTGTTGGAGAAGGGGGATGTAAGGAAAGGTGAGGAGATAGAATATCCAGAGTATATTATATAATTTAAGAAACTGTCAACAAAACAAATTTTAAAAACTAAAATATAAAAAATTATTAAATGCTTTCCTTATAATTCTCATATATTTCTTACTGAAAATAATTTCTTATGTTACTTGGATCTGATATATTTTCCAAAATCTTGTGTCAGAAACTTGGTTCCTCACTGCCTCTCCTATTGGGAAATGGTATATAGTTCAGGAACCCCTGATCTAGTTTAAGGCACTCGGGTTGTGCCTTTGAAGGGATATTTGGATGCTGGCTATTCCTTTCTAGTTATTTTTTTCTGGTGGACAAGAACCATGCTGCTTTGCCTTAGCACTCACTCCTTGACTTAATACTCTTCCAGTCTCAGGTCTAAAGTGATGGGAGTCATGAAAATTGAATAAATCCTGTTCTAAGTTATTAACTTCAGTAATTTGGTTAATTCAGTAACCAAAAAGATGACAAGAAAGAGACCCTTGGTAGCAAGCTCTTTCTTTAACCCCCCCCCTCTCTCAAACACACACACACCACCACCACCTCCACCACCACCACACACTGCTATATAGAAAGAAAGAAATATTCAGATAGGAAATAACTTGAAAGAATAAAGTATACCAGAAATAAAATACTCTTGACTCTAGTGACACTGTGCTACATGCGTGTTAAGAAGATGCTGAAATTGTATCCAAAGAGGGAAATACAATTTCCCTCTTCATGTGTGAGTTGGCCTTAGAACATGAAGAACTACCATGCCAAACACAATTGTGTGTGAGTAGATCATAGACTGGTTCTTTGCCCCCACGGTAACTTTAGAGCAAGTTAGCTGACATCAAGCAATATATGCAGACACTTTTCTGATAAGGAACTGAGGCCTCTTGCCAAAGCCTTGTTTGAGAAACAGGTTGGACATAGGACCTAATGCCCTGATGACCTAATGACTTGATGACTGACAGCCAGTGCTGTCTCTGACAGGACCACAGTCATTCAGAGACAGTGGCCAAGTCATCCTCAAACTTGGAGAATAGAAATGGAGAGACAATAAAGATTATCTATGGAGTAAATTGTTTCATAATATTTTTATTTATATATGTCTAATATATACTTCTTACACTTTCTGTGATACAAAGTAACTAAAAGTAGGTCTTGCATGACAATATTCAAATGCAGTGATTTGCTAAAAATCTTTGAAAAAGTTTAATCAGAAAACTGTATATGCACATATACATAAATTTGAGAAGTAAATTAAGTTTCTTATCTTTCTAAAATGCATTTTTATAAATAATAATAAAGTCTTTAAATAAAATATCTAAGACTTTAAATAAATATCTTAAATATTAATATTACTTAAATCTTAATATTAACTAAAATACTTACTTTGCAAAGTAGAATATTTCTAACGGTTGTACACAAGCAAAAAGCTATTAATGTATCTCCTCCAAACTGTGTCTTTTTAAAAGTGTGATTTCAGGATTATGGGTTTTAAAGATGTGAATAAACTTACAGCTACATCTTGGAGCAGGGATCCAGCCAGTACTTGTACATTTTACAACAGTTTCCCGGGTTGCAGGAGAGAAGCCATTTTCACATCTGTATCTGATTACATCATCAGCTCTGTGTTTGATCCTTTTAGGTGAGTAGTCACCATTTTCAATAGAAGGAGGTCTGCATGTTATTTCTATAAATAATCATATATAAGTAAGAATTATTTCATCACACTAAATTTAAGAATATAAAAACGAAATGGCAAAGTTTCACTTGCTTCTATATTACTTATTTTATATTATTTACTTGTACAGATAACTGTAAAATGATATTTAATGAACATATCTTCATTTTTTTAAATATTTCAGTCAGGCTTCCTTTCTCCCTGACTGGTGTATTTGGACCTTTCTAATATTAATTCTTCTCTCTTCATAATTCTATAACCGGCAATACTGTCCCATATAAAAAATTAACAATTTATTCTGCTTTCTAATTCTCTGATTGACATTGCCATCTTGACTCTCCTTGAGTTTATGTATTGATATTTGTAGACTTTTACATCTGAATAGTTGTGAAGATTTCACACCCCTTCCTCTTTGAAGTAAATGTGTCCTCTAACCTACAAAGGAAAACTACCTTATGAGAAAACTATATATTTCACCTAGAAGAAAAATATAGTGTAATCTTTTACTTTTTAAAAAAATGAAAACACTTCTATCATAAATTAACCACTTGATAAGTGAATTTACTTTCTATTAATTAAAATAAATACAGAAGAAGTCAGAGGGTATCCTGGACAAGATAACAAAAGGAAAAAAAAGATAACAAAAGGAATTTAGACACCAGAAGTAGATGAGTCAAGTTATTCTTACATTTCACCAGAGAAGTGGATTAGAGATATTTGTTAATAATCAATATGATAACAACATATTCCTAATTTTAATTGGAACTGAAAAAACATGAATGAGTCATATTGAGTCATACCTGTAGCTTAATATTGAAGGGCTATATTGTATTAACATGTTCATATGTAATATTGTTCTCTTCATGTTCTATTTTTAAATAATTAATATTTAAATAATGGTATTAATTTTTTCATAAAGTATGATTTTACTTCAGAGAGCATCACATATTTATGTTAAAAGAAGGCTTACAAATACATACAAAGACACAGAAATTTCTTATAGCTTCCTTTATATTTTAATTTAGTTTGAAGAATTTTCTAAACATTTGATACATAGTTTATAATTTTAAATTCTTTATATTTTAAATATTTTTTAAAAGAATATATACACAGCTTTAGTGGGGAAATTAGACTTACAGTACCACGGTTCCCACAGAGTACAGGAAGCAGGAAGCATGCACGCCCAATTTATATGTAAACATATGCCCGAGGCAAGTCCACCCCCTAAGGGGCTGGCTTAACTCTACATCTCCCCCTTTTGTCTAAATAAGACAGAACTAAACCAAATACAACTATAAACAAAAATAACAAATAATAAATATAACAAACAATACTGAGAACAAAAGTTTTGCTAGACATTCTATCTCAAGGAGTCTAAATAATGTAGAGAGTAACTACAATTATATAATCTTCAACTCCGTCAAAGATCTGAGAAGGGAATAAATATTACTTAACAAATGAGAGATATCCAAAATGTGCAACAAATGACAGAGACAACTGACTACCTGGGCAATCACCCAAAGTCTTGTTTGCAATGTTGAGTCAACCAACTTTGGCTAAGGCCTAACAAAACTGACATACCATTATCAAATGCAAGGCACTTTCTTAGAATTATCCTACCCTGTCTTGGCAAAATAAGACAATCCTGTTAAATTGTCAGAAGTTGAGGTATGGGCTTTTCTTAACTCAAAAGCCAGTTCTGCCAAGAAGACAAGCTCCCAGTGGAGTGTCTTTGGTGCTCAATCAAAACAACTTTGAGATATCATCTTACACCTGTCAGAATGGCTAAAATCAAAAACACCAATGATAGCCTTTGCTGGAGAGGCTGTGGAGGAAGGGGTACACTCATCCATTGCTGGTGGGAATGCAAACTTGTGCAACCATTTTGGAAATCAGTGTGGCGATTTCTCAGGAAATTCGGGATCAACCTACCCCTGGACCCAGCAATACCACTCTTGGGAATATACCCAAGAGATGCCCTATCATATGACAAAAGTATTTGTTCAACTATGTTCATAGCAGCATTATTTGTAATAGCCAGAACCTGAAAACAACCTAGATGTCCTTCAATAGAAGAATGGATGAAGAAAGTGTGGAATATATACACATTAGAGTACTACTCTGCCATAAAAATCAATGACTTCTCGAATTTTGCATGCAATGGATGGAAATAGACAACACTACCCTGAGTGAGGTAACCCAGACCCAAAAAGAGGATCATGGGATGTACTCACTCATAATTGGTTTCTAGCCATAAATATAGGTCACTGAGTCTATAATTTGTGATCCTAAAGAAGCTAAATAAGAAGGTCAACCCAAAGAAAAACATATAGTTATTATCCCTGCTATGGGAAATAGATAAGATTGCTGGGCAAAAAATTGGGATCTTGGGGGTGGGGTGGGATGGGGGTAAGGGGAGATGAGGAGAGAAAAGTGAGAAGGGGAGGATAGGGGGAACTTGGGGAAACGGGATGATTGGGGATAAAACAAGGTTGGATAGAGGAGCAGGGAATCACATATCTTAATTAAGGGAACCACCTTAGGGCTGGTAAGAGACATGAACCTAGAGTGGCTCCCAGGTGCCCAGGGCAATGTCCCCAGTTGGGAAGCTGAGGATAGGGAACCTGAAATGACCCTATCCTATAGCCATACTGATGAATATCTTGCATATCACCGTAGAACCTTCATCTAGCAATGGATGGAGATAGAGACAGAGACCCACACTGGCGCATCGGACTAAGCTCCCAAAGTCCCAATGAGGAGCAGAAGGAGGGAGAACATGAGTATATTCTAAATATTAACTGTTAATCCTACCAAATCATTGAGAATGAAGGTCATGCCATCTTTTAATGTCTTTTTTAATTTCTTTCTTCCCATTCATTTTTTTTTACATTTTACAAGCTTTTTGATTAATTAGTTTAATATACTTTATTCTAATTTTTGAGGCTACTGTGATAGGCAAAAATTTCCTTAGTTTTTCCTGGATATGTTTCTCATTTGCATATAGGAAGTCTACTGATTTTTATATATTAATTTTGTATCTAGTTGCTTTGCTCAAAGTGTTTGTCAGCTGTAGAAACTTTTTTGTAGAGCGTTGGAGTCTTTCAGAAAGAAAATCTTGTCATCTGCAAATGAGAAGCTTTGATTCCTTCCTTTCTTGCTTGAACTCTTCCATGTCCTCCCTTGTCAGACTGAGGGTCTGTGTCTTTGCCCATTGAGTCATTCTAGCCACCTCACTCGGGATTCTCTTTGCAGTCTTTCCTCTGCACATGTAAGTCTCTTCTTGCTCTGGTTGAAGAGCCAGGGCAGCTAGTGCTGCCTTGCTCTTCTCTTTCTGTGATGTCATCCCAGTTCTCAGATTTTGTATGTGCTGTGTTCCAGCTACTATACTCCATGTGATTTAGCTCAAAAGTGTAGCTGTGAAAGCCAGGCACTGTGTTTCAGGATGCAATCTCATTTATTGGCCTCAGAAATGTAGAAGAATGAAGATCAGGAGTTCAAGGACATCACTTCTCCAAATCCAGGCTACCAGTCCTATCCCTAGCTCTATAGCAGATCATCTGTTCTGGTTTCCCTTTCCTTTTGGACCCATTCCCAATGGATCACAAAGATTTTCTCCTCCGACACTCTTCTCTCAACATATCCTATGATCTATTTTCTCATCCTTCAACACTAGCAGGCATTCTCTGGGAACACATCATATGATTAGGTCAAGAAAACAAGACATCTGAATTCTTTCACAACCACCACTACCTCCTTTTCTCTAAATTCCATCTCCAAGTCTCACCCCAAGCTATGGAAAACAGTAGTCACATAATACCTACGTCAGCTTTTCTCCCCATCACCTGTGAATCCAGTAAATCTTTCCCTCACAGTCTCCATACTGGGTGTCCTATGGAAGTCCTTAAGACTCCTACATGTTAACCCTGTTAACCCTCATGTCACTCTTCTAACGAAAGCAAGTAGGCTGACTATAGATCGTCACATTTTCTGTTTCTCCAGATATAATCCCCAAGTCTCGTCTACAGCTCTGCAGCAGAACTTATGTGGTAGCTTCCACCCACCACGTCTCTAGTGGATCCGACACACCTTCCCCATCTAACATTCTTCTCTCCCTTTATTGCTTTATCTCAGCCCCAACTACAGCAGGCAATCCTTGCTATAACCCACAGGCTACTCCTGCTAGTCAAGAAAGTAAGGTAACTATAGATCTTCAGCTTTCTCTAAATCTCCTGGTTTTATCCCCAGCTCTGTAGTAGACCTTCTGGGGGTGACCTGTCTTCACTATTTGCCCCCATTCCAAGGTGACTATATAAGTTGATCCTGGTGGAATACTCTGCTTTTCTCCCTCTTGTGAACCCCTCATGTCCCTATTCTATTCCCAATTCTAAGAGTCTTTTCCATATATCTAGAAACATATTATACCTAGAATTTCCAGTGGCTATAGCTATCAGATTCACAGAAATTTTCCAAATAGGCAACAGATAGGCAACACATTATCCTAAAATCCAGAAAGGAAACAGAAACAAAGAAACAAAAAACGTACCCAACAAAGACAATACCAGAAATTAGCACCTGCTCCTATATTCTTCAAAATCTCACATCCTAGATGACAGAATAAAGCACAATACATAACTGCTAGAACAATATGTCTCCACTAGCCCCACAACCCTACCACAATAGGCTCTTAGTTTTACAACATACTGAACCAGAAGAAAAATATCTTTTAAAACTGTATGAATAGAATAGAGATTCTTAAAGAGAAAATGAAAGAAAAATTAAGGAAATCTTTGAAAACATATATAAAAGTGGAAGGAAAAAAATAATAAAACTTTTTAAGACCTGAAAATGGAAATATAATAAATATAGGAAACCCAAAAATGAGAATTTTTTAAATGAAAAATTTTGGAATTTGAATAGGAACTGCAGAGGTAAATTTCACTAACAGAATCCAAAAGATGGAAGGGAGAATCTCAGACATTGAAGACAGAATAATAGAAATGGACACA